TCCCCCCATTCTTTTTTTTTTGTTTTTTTTTGAGACAGGGTTTCTCTGTGTAGCTTTGCACCTTTCCTGGAACTCGCTTTGGAGACCAGGTTGGCCTCGAACTCGCGGAGATCCACCTGCCTCTGCCTCCCGAGTGCTGGGATTAAAGGCGTGTGCCACCACAGCTCGGCTTTTCCCCATTCTTTCCAGATCTTGTCCACCTTCCTACATGCCCAAGAACACACACTTTCTCTCTCCCTCTCATTAAAATCACACAGACATGTAAAATAAATAAATAAATAAATATCCAAATAATCTAGTATAAAAACCAAACAAACAAGCAGAAAATGTCATAATTCCGCATTGAATTAATTTTGTGTTGCCATTTACAGCTAAGCATGGGGCCTGCCATTCAGTGTGTTTTATGTATCCTGATAGACAACACTGGATAAAACTAATTTTTCCTTTCATTTCCTGAGGAGGTTTAAGTTTCTATAGTCATTAATTGAAGAAATTGGAATTTTCTTTTTAAAGCAACTGAAGTAATGAAAAACTGATCATAAGGAAAGTGGTGATTATCTTTAAAAATGAGCTTATGATATTGCTTCAAAATTTAGTAAATGCCTGGTGGTGAAAAACTAACGTGGGAAGATGATCTCCCTCAGATAACTTGTGGCTCTGATAAATATTTATAAAAATAAGCAATTTTGAGACAGGCTCGGCGGCGGCGGCCCATAGAGACAGGTAGGCCTGGCGGCAGCTGGCAGAGACAGACAGGCCCGTGGCAGCCGGCAGAGGCAGGTAGGCCTGGCGGCGGCAGCTGTCAGAGACAGGTAGGCCAGGCGGTGGCCCACAGAGGCAAGTAGGCCCAGCAGCAGCCGGCAGAGACAGACAGGCTTGGCGGCAGCTGGCAGAGACAGACAGGCCCGACAGCAGCCCGCAGAGGTAGATAGGCCCAGCAGCAGCCCACAGAGGTAGACAGGCCTAGCAGAGACAGACAGGCCTGGTGTGGAGGCAGGCAGGCCCAGCAGGTGGCGACCGAAACACAGTTGCAATAAAGACCAGAAACTGAGCTATTACCCAGTAAAGAGCTAGTGAAAACAAGCCCTTAATCAAGAACTTGGAACAGGGACGCCTGTTTGGCGGTTCATGTTACTGGAGTTGTATCCATGCCAGTGGATGTCCACACAATCCAGAAGAGAATTTGACATTGCTGCTGCTGCTGTGGCTGTTATAGCAATGGCGCACACCACTGCTACTGTTTCTGGGATTACCATTTCATAATCGCTTACTACAGCTAGCACAGTGGAGAACCTGGCAACAAAAATAGCTACCACAGTTAATCTTTCATTCTATTGGGCATGATAAATTTAATTCAGTAGTTATATACATCTCAATTGGCTTTGAAAATTACAAATTTATAAACTCAAGTCCCAGTTGCTTTTGGGATATGATCTTACAAGGACTCCAACGTACAGTATGGCTCGTTAAGGAAGGGAATGGCTCAGTTGCCTTTAGCCTACAGGCTGTGGTTGAGATAGGACCTCTGTTGGTCTTTTCTGTATTGAACACACAGATTACAAGCCCAGCACTTTGTGATCTTTGGCAACAAGTAACTATGCAGCTCACACACGATTGAGCCGGTATGATAATGAGTATTCAGAGATGGTAATGCCTGGGGGGCACTCACCAACCTAAGGCAGAGCATCTGTGTGGCCTGGGCAGGCGTCTCCATGATGGGTAAGGTGACCAGGTGACCTGCTGATGTCCCAAGCAACCTAAGTCAGAAGCTCATTTTTAAATAAAAGGGGGACCTGCAGGGCCCTGGCCCCCGTTTTGGGTAACTATTGCCTTGCTTGCAGACCTTGACCTTGATATCCTCCCTATGCTAATTCCCTGCCAGGTTCCACCCTCCTGAATGCTTAAGGGAAGTTCCTTGTCTGTGTATGCTGAATAATGGGCATTAACAACTTAGATGCAAGATTGTAAAACATCAGTAGCGAACTTCTGCCCTCTGGGGTCCTCCCATTGTGCTGTAAGCCTGGATTTAAGACCTCCTATCCCCTTCAAGAAATGACATTCGACATTTAAAATTAATATATATATATATAAAATTGAATGAATACTGCGAATGTAATCTATGAATACCACAAATGTGATTAATATCATGAGTGTCAGTAATGAATATCATGAGTGTAATTTAAAAAATAAATAAAAAATAAAAATAAAAAAGCAATGTTCAAAGTTATTCTTATAGCAAAAAGTAAAATTGCTATGGTGAGAGACATCAGCTACAACAAAGATATTTATAGTATCAGACCCATATTTTAAGGTAAGGAACTTCATTAATATGCACCATTATAGTTCAAGTATTCCAATAATCTCACTGAATCCAACATACATATCAGCTCAAATATGCTAGGACTGCATTGACTTATGAACAAATAATTATTTATCATTTTCACAAGTTACTTCTATCTTCTCTGTGCAAAAGATGACCTGTAAAAGATATCATTATTAAAGGATACATAAGTAGGATGCAGGTGAGCTCCAAGTGGTGGGATTTGGGTATATTAACTCTTCACATAGTAGAGGACAACGAATCTGAAAATGAAGGCCAGAGCCAGAGGTAGGTAAAACCTTTGAAAGTCTGTGAATAATGCCCTATTTTACCAAATAGGCTCAAAACTCTTCAAATTCCTACATTTCCACAGATCACCAGAACCTGAGTATCACAAATGTCAGAATTAGAGAACCAATATCTAAGAGTAGTATTGAGATGATCTGGTCTGCACTGCAACATCCTATAATATCAGGTCTGCTTGCTCTAATATATATTACCAGAGTGTGGGTTCAGTTCCACACCATGCATATGACTTCCTCAGAAAATGGCATCCCAGATGCAATACCGTCAGATGCTCTTCCTTCCTACAGGTCTCTGGTCTTGCCTTAGAGTACTTGTCAGTTAATTCTGACTCCTTGATGCCAGCTACTTTGAGCTCCGCATGTTTGTAACCCTTTTTACTTCCTGCAACACAGAACCATTTTAAAATGCTGTTATGTCCTGTTACCATCATTAAACTTAAGCCTGGTGCCCTGCATCATAGTTACAGTAGTATCTTTGTGATAATTCTTGGGAATGTATCTGTATTTGATCAGTCTCTATTGGGGATGTATTTGATCAGCATTTTCAGCCAAACACATTCTGAAGAAATTGGCATATTTTTATTTTTGAGTGTTCTAGGTTGCTTTTTATTATTATTATTTATTTATTTGTATTTCATGTGCATTGGTGTTCTGCCTGTTCGTATGTCTGGGTCAGGGTGTCAGATCTTATAGTTACAGACAGTTTTGAGCTGCCATGTGGGTGCTGGGAATTGAACTCAGGACCTCTGGAAGAGCAGTCAGTGCTCTTAACCGCTGAGCTATCTCTCCAGCCCCGGTTGCTGTTTTTAATCAAGAAGAACCTAAATATTTTAACTGTGCACAGCATAAGATATACATTTAGTTGGATTCATTTTCTTACCAATTACAGGATCTTTGTCACTAACTGCCTGGAACTTTGACTACCAGGTTTGAGCCAAGCTATTAGTTATTTGAGAATTGTGTTCAGTAGGTACTGAAGATTTACTTCCCCTCCCCAAGAGTTATATTAGATACAACACCTATCTGTGTATCTTGAAAATTCTGCTGTGTTTTCAAGCATCAAGTAAAATTAGTCCCATCCATATATACTTTTGGATTGCATCACATCGGAACACAATTGAGTAACCCAGAGTATTGCTCTAGAAGAATATATATACATACGTCTTCCATACATATTTCAAATACCAGTGACTCTTCAGGTAGAGGTAGGTCTTCCTGGCCACCTCCAATCTCAGTGCAGAAATTTGTCTCCTGTGTAGTTTCACTAGACTTGTTCATGCTTTCACACTTAATGTGAGTTCATATGCTCATATGTTTTGCTATGTATTGGGAAAACGGTTTCCTTGTAGTAAGAAACCACATATATCCCTTACAATCTTTCCACTCCTTCACAATGATGCATGAACCTTTGAGGAAGGGTATGATGGTATTTTATGTGGACTGAAATGTGATTTTCATTGTACGTTAATAAATAAAGTTGCCTGGGAGTCAGAGCTATTAGAGCCATAGCAAGAGCGTGGTGGTGGTGGCACACGCCTTTAATCCCAGCACTTGGTAGAAGAGCTAGGTAGATCTCTGTGTGTTCAGGTATATAGCCAGCATTGGAGACATATGCCTTTAAGACCTGGAGGGCGATACTTACAGGCAGTGATGAGGCAGTCATGTGTTTGGGTTTACAGCCAATGAGAAGGCAGAACAGAAAGACTATTTAAAGACAGACACACAGGAAGTAGCTCTTTTTTGGGGAAGCTAGGAGCACTGCAGGAGGTAAGATTTTAGCTCTGAGCTCTGACCTCTCGGCTTTCTCTTTTACATTAGTTCTGCGTTTCTTATTTTAATAAGACGGTTGGTTACATCTACATCTGGCGCCCAATGTGACAAGAATCCATTAAAAACTGCTTGGGGTCGGCTCCCTAGTCCAAGCAGTTGGCTCCCTAGCCCCAGCCCAGGTCTGCTTGGCCTCAGACCAGACCAACCGTGAGCTGCTTGCTTAAAGCTGGTGCTACAAACAACTCAGGCCTGCCCTGCCGAACAGGGCTCCTGCCTGCAAAGCCAACGCACGTGGTTGGAAGCCAGAACCAAGCCTTGACTCGGCTCAAGAGGGAACACATGGCTGGATTTAAGCTTTAGCCAGCTATGCTTTCTTTCTTTCTTTCTTTCTTTCTTTCTTTCTTTCTTTCTTTCTTTCTTTCTTTCTTTCTTTCTTTCTTTCTCTCTCTCTCTCTCTCTCTCTCTCTCTCTCTCTCTCTCTTTCTTTCTTTCTTTCTTTCTTTCT